GAACACTAATTCTTCTAGGATGTAATTCACGAGTGAAAGACTTTCACTGGACATGAATTCCCAAAGACCCACTTTGCCACTTTCATCAACAACGACGCCCCTTAAAAACTCCATATGTGAACACACGCACACGCACACGCACCCATGCACACGCACACGCACACGCACACATGCATGCGCGTGCGCACACACACACACAAGTGATATGTGCACTGAAAGTTCTAAAATTTTTCACAAAATTGCAATTGAACCTTGAAACTTGAAAAAAGTGCAATCAAATCCTAAAATTTGTCAAATTGGTTCAATTAAATCATTATGTTAACTCCATCCAATTTGTCTCATGAAAAATAATGATGTAGCTTTTTTTTTATTAGTATTTTCTCTATCCTACGTGATAATGATGTGGCTAAAATGACATCGTTTTGATCCAAATCTACACACACACACAAGTGATATGTGCACTAAAAGTTCAAAATTTTTTCATGAAATTGCAATTGAACCTTGAAACTTGAAAAAAGTGCAATCAAATCCTAACATTTGTCAAATTAGTTCAATTGAGTCACTATGTTAACTCCGTCCAATTTGTCTCACGAAAAATAATGATGTAGCTTTTTTTTATTAGTATTTTCTCTATCCTACGTGATAATGATGTGGCTAAAATGACATCGTTTTGATCCAAATCTAATTTTTAATAAAACATATTTAGTAAATTAAATTTGAAAAATAAGCTAAATATTTTTAAAAAAAATAGAGAAGCGACAAACCAAGCGGGGAGGGCCCGACGACTCCCCCTGGCAATCCCCCACCCTCGCCAGCCATTCCCAGCAATGTTGCGATAGCGTCGGCAAGGGTCCTCCCCACCTAGTTTGTCCCCTTTTTTATTTTTTATAATTAGCTTATTTTTCAAATTTAATTTAAATAAATTTTTTATTAAAAATTAAATTTGGACCAAAATAACATCGTTTTAACCATGCCATCGCTACGTAGGATAGAGAAAATAATAAAAGAAAGCTACGTCAGCATTTTTTGTTAGCCAAATTCGACATAATTCATGAAAGAACTTGAGTTAATCAATTTGATAAATTTTAAAATTTAATTACACTTTTTGCAAGTTCGACAACTCAATTGCACTTTTCGTAATAACTTTTAGAACTTTGGATGTACTTTTATATATATATACATAAAAGGGAAAAAAGGTTCAGAGGCCGAAGTCAACATGGAATAGGAAATCCTTGTTCAGAACCCAAATTCGATCAATCTAAGTCAAAGTTGGACTTTCCGTTTCTTTTTTCCTTTTATTTCTTGACCGATTTGCTTCATTTTTATAATTGGTTGGCCAGCATCCCTGTCACATCAAGTTGATATCAAGACAAATCAAGAAATCCTTCTCCGCCGGTCCTAAACTGACTACATTTGTTTAGTTATACTACTTTAGCTAACACGAGTACTAATTCTTCCTGTACTTTTAGCTACTAAAGCAGTTGACACAAGTTTACTGAATTGTCTTCTATGGATGTTCTCACTCAAATCAAATTGCGAATGTCATCAAACGTCAAGTTTGTTGACCTAGAGGAATTATTAACAGTAGTAAGAGTAGTGTTCTAACCATCACTTAATGAGGATAATAGAATCAAAGTACGTATCTCATCTTCAAAGTTAATCTCAACTGAACTTAATTGACTAATAATCACATTAAGTTCATTAATATGATCAGTAACTGACGCACCTTGATTTATCTTCAAATTAAACAGACATCGCATCAAGTAGACCTTATTAATCGTAGTGGGCTTCTCATACATATATTCCTCAATCTACATCTTCCAAAAATCAAAATCTTTCCCATCAAATTTATCGATTCCCACTTTTCCTTCTTCTTGCTGTCGATTTGCTTCAAATCAGTCAAGCATAGCTCTAATACTAATTGTTGCGGAAGCAAACGATTGAACAATAAAATAGACAAAATAAAAAAAATAAATCGAGTACCAGATTTACGTGGTTCGGTGGAGGTGACCTATATCCATGGGAAGAGCAGTATAGAATCCCACTATAGATCAAGCAATGCTATGGAGATTGCGACTATAATCAAGTCACTCAAACGTTCGCAGTATTTCTCAACCCCAATAACTCACACAGTGTTTAGCTTATAAATTTCTCACGAAATAATCTCTCCATCACACAAAGAAATTAACATCTTACCACAAGAGTATTTGGCATGAACATTAATACTTCTTGGATGTAATTCACAAGTGAAAAACTTTCACTAGACAAACAACAAGAGGATACAAACTTTTTCTTTTGAAACTACTGTTTGCCTTCGATAAAGAAATGTCAAAGACATAACATGTAGGGAAAACAATACTAATAGTTCTTAATTTTGGCTCAATACGCAATGTCATATTTGGACTTTTTATTTGTTCAATATGGTTTTTAAACTATTCCAAAATGCTTAATCTAGTTTTTAAATTTTCAATTTGTTCAATATAGTTTTTCAACTATTCTTAAGTGTTCAATGTCATCTTTCGGTACTATTCATAAGTTTTCAATTCATGACCTCTCTATTTAATTTCATAATTATCTTACAAGTTTGTCTAATAGTCTTGTAGTTAGACCTTTCTAACTTAGAAATGCTATTTTACTTATCAACCTTGCCGCTCTCTTTTCCTCTTCCTCTCGTAGAAGAAGAGGCATTGGGAAATTCAATTTAGAAGAATGGTGAAAGTAAAGATTTGGAGCCTTGTAAATTGCTATTTGTTATAATATGTTTTGACTTTGAGCCTATGAAAGAAACCCAATCCAAGTATTTTCTTGATTTGAATGCGTCTCCAAATTCGAGTAGGTTTCCTAAAAAGAAGTTTTCTATTTTAAATCAAATTCTCTTCTATGAATAAGAAGTGAGTTTTCTTTGTAATGAGTATCCATGATGTTATCTCTTCGTGAATTAGACTATGAAACAATTCGAGATCATTGGTAAGATTTGTGAATTCATTTATGAGATTGTGAAATTGTATTGCGAGGAATTATGAGGGCTAAACGCTGTGTGGGATTATCAAGCGTGACTGGGGCTATGAAAACTTCGAGTGCTTTGAGTGTCTCGAGTGGGTAGTTGTAATCTCTTTTCTAAGTGGAATTCCGTGTTGCTTTCTCCGTGGACATAAGCCACATCGACTGAAGACGGTGTTTATTTTATTATTAGATGGCTTGCTTTTCGCAACACTATTGTTGTTTGGAAAGTGATGGTAAGGTTACACATTTAACAGTTCTTAAGTACCGAAGACAGGTCCCAGAACACACTCTTGAAAAGCTCTTGGTTGTGGTGCTTCTCCTCCATGGTACAGTTTATTGCATGGCTATCGGGAATCCTGAATACTGAGACTTTGAGTTCATGCGTGACCCTAAGTAGTAAACTTTATAAGGTTGTGATTGAGCGATATAACAGCTTTAGGCTGCGCATGACAATTTGCCGAACAGTGTTTGATTCTGTTCTTTTGTTCTCAGAATCAGTTTGAGAACAGAAATGCGTTTGTTTAATTTTTTGATTATGGGCACAATTTTGTCAAAAATTGTTCCCAGAATCAGTTTTGGAGCAAAATCAAGAATAAAAAAAAAGTAGCTTCTTGATTCTAGGAATAATTTTGAGAATCAATTTTTTTTTCTTCTGCCTTTTCTTGGTTTTTAATTTAGCTTCTAATGTCCGGCCCGAGGACCGCCCTCGTCGGATCTGACGAGAATAAAATATTTTAATAAAAAATATTATTAATAAAAAATATTTTACCGGCCTAAAAAATATTTTACCGGCCATGGCCGGCGACCAGGCCATGGCCATAAAAAAGAAAAAAATATATTTTTAATAAAAATATTTTAATAAAATAATTATTAATAAAAAAAATATTTTACCTGCCATGGCCGGTGACCAGGCCATGGCAAAAAAAGAAAAAATATATATTTTTAATAAAAAAATTATTAATAAAAAAATATTTTACCGGCCATGGCCAGCGACCAGGCCATGGCAAAAAAAAATAAAAATGTATATTTTTAATAAAAAAAATTTAATAAAAAAATTTATTAATAAAAAAATATTTTACAGGCCATGGCCGGCGATCAGGCCATGGCAAAAAAAAAGAAAAAAATATATTTTTAATAAAAATATTATTAATAAAAAAAATATTTTACCAACCATGGCCGGCAACTAGGCCATGGCCAAAAAAAATAAAAATATATATTTTTAATAAAAAAAAATATTTTACCAGCCATGGCCGGCGACCAGGCCATGGCAGGAAAAAATAAAAATGTATATTTTTAATAAAAAAAATTATTAATAAAAAAAATATTTTACCGGCCATGGCCAAAAAATATATATATATATATTTTTAATAAAAAAAATATATATATATTTTTAATAAAAAATATTATTAATAAAAAAAAAATTTTACCGGTCATGGCCGGATACCAGGCCATGGCAAAAAAAAAGAAAAAATACTTTTAATAAAAATATTATTAATAAAAAAATATTTTATCGATCATGGCCGGCGAGCAGGCTATGACCAAGAAGGACGAAAAGAAAAAAAGAAAAGAAAAAAAAGAAAGAAATATTAAAATATTTAAAAATATTATTAATAAAAAGAAATTTTGTGGCGTTACCAAACGCATTTTACGTTCTTTTTCTATTCCAGGGATGGAATTTTGGGCCGTTAACAAACGCCTTAAAATGCTCGGAATCAATTCCAGGCACAAAATCAAAAAGAATCATTTACGAGCGAATGCTTAAGCACAAAATCGTTGTCATGCGCAGCCTTAGTAACAATATTGCACGACAATGCTTGAGCATTGCTGCAATACGTAACAAATGTCGGTATTCTTGTAGAGGCTATCAATTTTTTGTATGAACTCTTGTTGTAATGTATCTGTTTTTAATTAGCAAATTTCGAAATCATGGATAAACTTTGATTTTCAGAGTCTCGACTGTGCTAATACGTAACAAAGAACTGAAGAAGAAATGAATCAGACACCAGAATAGGCAGCGCCATTCTGTGGGTATGACTCGAAAATTTTTCTAGCCACATACGATATGGAAAAACCAAGTTCCTGTTATAACTCGAGTCTCCTTGTCACAATTGTACCATATTATAAAGTCTAAATGTTAATCACAATCTAATTGCCTAATTCTTCTGAGCAAATGTAATTGCTCATTCCTGTGCCATTCTGTTATTCCCCCTACTAGAAAAAATAAGCCGGAATCCTGGCAATGAAGATATATCGATTTTCATACAGCTATAAAGTGTACCCACACGATTTATACGGTAAAATCTAAACAGAATTGATCTGAACGATAGCCTCAAAATCTTGGCTACATGGACCTCGATCAACAGAACCACTGTCACTCGCAAACCACGACGGCGTTATCTTGCTATTAGATTGGTCAACTTTGCTGGTAGATTGATCTGAGTTAAGAACACAAGGTGCCAGTTTGTACTTCTTACTTGGGAAGAAGAATGAAGGTCTTTGAGGAACTGGGATGCTAATAGACTCGCCGTTTAACATGAGAATAACTGCATCCATGGTAGGTCGGTCTTCCATGTTGTCTTGCACGCACAGCAGGCCAATGTGCATGCATCTGATCACTTCGTTCATGGGGTAAGCACTACTTAAAGCTGGTTCCACCACTTCCGACAGCGTTCTGTTAGTCCAGTGCTTCCAAACCTAAAAAATTAGTTATATCAGTTAATTTTGTTCAAATTACTGTTTTACTCCTATTAAAAGTGATGTTTGCCAAAAAAAAAAAGTGCTGTAGTAAGATACTCACGTAGCCTAGCAGGCCCTCATCAGAGTCCAGCGCGAAGAATTGGCTGTTCTTTTTGCCAGTTATAATCTCTAGCATTAACACACCATAGCTGAAGACGTCAGATTTTACCGAGAAGTGTCCAAACATCAGATACTCAGGAGACATGTAGCCACTGCATGGAGAACAAACACAGAAATGAGAGGACAACCTAGAAAGTTTCACTATGGATATAAACTACTCGAAACAAATTAGAACGAGTCAGCCTTTTTTGCTTGTCAAGAAAATGCCCCAAGTTCAATGCTAATGGCACCCTGTTCGCTTCCAACAAGTCAGATTACAGATGTTGAACTTACTATGTCCCTACGATTCTATTCGTACTTGCTTGAGTCTGATCAGTACCAAAGATCCGGGCCATGCCAAAATCTGAGATTTTTGGGTTCATGTCAGCATCTAGCAGAATGTTGCTGGCTTTGAGATCACGGTGAATAATTCGAAGCCTAGAATCTTCATGAAGGTACAGCAGTCCACGCGCCACCCCTAATATTACCTTGTAACGTGCTGACCAACCCAGCTGTCCACTGAGCTCCGGATCTACACATCAGTAAAAAAATAACCTGTAAGTTGCATCAACTCTTACTTGCGTAATGCTCATGCCCAGATCATCACATAGAGTTGTTTTTGTCAACTTTGGATCAGTGTTCCATTATCACATGATTCGTTTCTTTTCATATCTACTTCTTTACTAATGTTTGATCTTTGAAGTTGTATGTAGAAATGAAATGATGGAGATATCTAGGCAGAATAATAACAGGATGTGGTTTCTATTCCGTTGTCCTGCTATCACTAATATCTCTGTTTTGTCTTCATTTAGCCCGAATTATATTTGCTTCTCATTCTCTGAGTGAAGTATATAATTTAGACTGCAATGCTGGCGTATTAAGTTGGTGAAAACGAGATAAAAGAGAGGCAAACCAAATAACAAGCGATCGAGGCTCCTGTTGGGCACGTTTTCATAGATTAGTATTGTTTCATCTCTTTCCATGGAGAATCCCAGTAGCTTCACTAGGTTTCTGTGTTGAAGCTTGGCTACTAGTTCAACCTCAGTTTTGAATTCCGTGACTCCTTGTCCAGAGCTCCTAGATAGCCTCTTTGCTGCAATTTCTTGGCCACCGGGTAGTGTACCCTGATAACAGAACAGACATACAAATTCAAAATCTTCCCAAAGCAGACGCATCTTATTGTATTACGATTTTTCACTAACATGAGATTAAAAGGGCAATGAAATAGGAGAACCAGATGCATAATCTCAGAGTATTTCGTATTTCACTAATGTGGATGAGAAAGATGGTATGGAGCTTCTAGAGGCTTCACTGTAAATCACAATATTATACTACATTATGATCATATATGAAAATTGGCAAGTATCGGCTTCTTGATAACTCAAAGGTGAATGATCTGATTAAACAATTTTATTACCTTGTAAACCGGGCCAAATCCACCTTCCCCTAACTTGTTGTCGTTCGAGAACTTATTTGTGGCGGCTTCTATTGTTTGCAGATCAAATTGCAGGGAATGGAGTTCAGAAATTTGCCTCCTAACTGGCAGTTAAATAGTGCAGATATCTTTAGACTCTAGTGAAATGGAATCTATTAAATCGTATGCATGCAATAGCATTGTTTCGTCAAGTTACCAATCGAATCTTCTTCGATACGACTTTCACCGTTCCTTCTTAGAACTCTTCTTCTTCTTCTTCCCCTTAAAAGATGCCACACTATTTTGTAAAATAGTAGCGTTGATCCTATGGTTGCGGTGAGGATTGCAGCAAATATTATCATTGGAAGGTGCACTTCCCCTGCATTTGTAATCGGAGTGAATAGTTTTATTGATAGACATGATGGTTTGGTTCCTACTAGTCAGAAAAATTTCATCTTCCAGCACATACATAAGAACGAGTCATTGCCAACACGATTCGAAAGCTGTTTTAGACAGTTAAATTGACTGTAATTAACTAAAACGAGCTGTGAGTAATCTAATATGTAGAGGCTTTAATTGTAGTCGAATCGAAAAAATAAAAATCTGTTGCTGCCTTAATAATATCTCAAAAAAGCAGACAAGACAAAATCTTTTGTAATCTTAGAAAAGTAACAAATATGGTGAACGTTTGAAAAATCAACTATGAGGCTCTACCTTACCTTTTGAGCTGCTCCAGAATCTGTGTTTTTTTTTCTCCGGAGTATACTTGGCGTCGCGATAGCCATACTTCCTAGGAGGATGCTGAGCAGCCTTTCTTGCTGCATGAACCATCGTCCTGTTCAGTAGCTTCATGAAGTCATCCAGCTTTTCTATGTTCTCTTCATTATATCTGTCCAACCAAGTTTTCGCCTCCATGGTCGAGGAAATTTTCGCGTCGGAGTAACACAACATGCACTGATGGTACCACAGGACGGAGAATTTGGTCATGTGGCACACACGGGTTATCTCGAGGCTCGCGTTCTTGACGCATTCTTCGCACTCTTTCTTTGAGACATCGTCTTTGCACATAAAGCCGCCATAGACGGCCTCGCTCGAGCTCACTTCGCTCGAATTGAAGAAGAACCTTTTATTGCCAGACGCATCAGAGACGAGATCATGGAGAACATGGTTGAGGTTGGTGTGGTAGGTGCTATTGGGAGTGAAGGTGCTTGAGTTGGAGCAGTAATGTCTGCTCGTGGTGAGGGTGGATGCAGCAGCTTTGATGGTGAAAAGGCTGAGCATGAAAGGAAGTAGAAAAAGAGTCATCGGCATCTCTCTCTCCCTTTCTCTTGTTGTGCGTGTGTTTGTTGTTTGTGGTGAACGAGTGGGATTTGTTCTTTCCATTCGATTGTCAGGCCACAACATGGATCTTTATATAGGGTAAAGGACCAAGAGTCTATTTGACTCGGTATATCATCCACTTTCAACCGCGGCTTCTCGAGAGAAAAACAGTCAAATGTCCCGCGTGAGCCGTCGCTGGGTGTGTTCATTCAAAGCCATGCTTGTAGCAATGATCAATGATGAGAAACCAGGGGGCCCGTTCTCCCTTCGGGGGGAAACATTGATATAACCAGCATGGTCTTTATTGTCTTTTGCTTATATATTGTACTTTATAAGCAGCTTGATCTATATTGTAGTTTGCTTATATTAAAAAAAAAATACTAATTAACATTGGGAATTTGACACCATAAATGTCATAACTTTTGTACAGAGAGCCATAACTTTTTTTATCGATCGCTTAAGTACCATAACTTATGTACGGCGCTTACTTGAATGACATAACTTTTTTTTTCAATCACTTGAGTACCCTATAACTTTTCAATCGATCACTTGAGTATCTTAACTTTTTCAAAATGTTCACCACAAGTATCATGCCATGTCAGATTTCTAGTACTTGGATGAACATTTTAAAAAAGTTATCAAGTGATCAATTGAAAGTTATAGAACTCAAGCGAATGTTAATTAGATTAATGCATCAAAAGTTCAAAGATGACAATGAACAAAATATAATCTAGATATAACATTGAACAATATGCAAAAAATTAAGAATTATTTACGTAGTTACCTTTATTTTATAGTCAAGAACTCAAGAGGGTTGTCTCAACTTTTTTCCCCTCTCGATACGTATCCCAATCACCCCAAATGCTTTAGTTACGTGTTTCTCTTCAAGAATAAACTGTTTTAATGAATGCATTCACTAGAATAACAAATTATATACGCTGAGGATATTTTCAATCGGATTTTACTAGCATAACAGTCTTTGAATTACTGTGAGAGTAATAACATATTGTGAGTCATAAATTATTAAAAGAGTGGACTTCACAATAGTTTTTAATTATTTTTTATGGTCCAGCTATTAATCTCACGGTAAATTAATGACTATCACTTAATTATTTCTCTTTTCAATTTTTCACACGATGTGCATATTGTACAAAAATCCAAAAGTATATCATAGTGGGCCCACCATTCACCATGAGTTTCTAATGCCACGGCCACTTGCCTCCGTCCAAGAGACGACACGCAAACACAAGCAGGACGACGAGAAAATTGAATGACGGCGTGGAGCGCGAAACACGTGCGTGCCCAACGTCAACGAACGCGATCAAATTGGGTCTACACATAAGTCCATGGAAACTTAGTAACGGTGGGCGTGTGGAATTGCGCAGGCACGATCGACATCCCAATCAACGACAGCGTCCGTCTGGAATTTTAACCTTCAAACCGCTTCGAGGGCCGGTCTTGTCTCCCGATACGATCTCGAACGAGTTGCCTCGAGAATCTCTCGATAGACCATGTTGATGCACAACTCGGTCCCGGAAGATGACTTTTTCGCCTCTGATTGAACCTGTGACCGCGAACACAGGTTAGGTCGTGCGGATCTCTAACTTGAATCGGCCCTCCGATGCGTAAGCTAGTGCTCGATGGAGGATAGAAATGTAAGGACTTTAGATCAGGGTCAAAAGTTCCGAACCAGTTTCTCAGCCTCCAAAATGGTTCGTGGATTCAGCCAACGCCTGTTCCTTAATCAGCCTTCTGGAAGCGTTTGGTTTAATAAAGAATTGCACGCAGGGGCTGGTCAATTAGTGCCTTAATCTTAGTTAGTTGTTTGATAGTACGACTCAAGATGACACGGCTAGTGCAAAGGCCAACATCTCTTCCAATGAGAATAGCATTTCTTGGTATTGAGTATGTCTTGAATTTTTTTATGGGCTTGTACCAACATTAGAGCTTGAGAGCAGTGTAAATATTATTTTTCTCGAATTATTAGGTTAATAAGTTAAGACAAAAAAAATCTTATTTTTTGAATCACTTTTTTGTAATCCTTGAATTTTTGTGGTGGATTTTGCTTCTCTTCTTCCCGTGATTTTTCCTGTAAGGGTTTTTCACGTAAATCTGTGTGTTCTTTATTCTTCTCGGCTTTAATTTCGTTATAGTTTCCGCATCAATCGTAACACTCGGCATCCTCAAGAGTCTTACGCAAGTAATCATAGGACTTGCTTTCCTGCCTATTCCTGCGCAAGCCCTGCACCGACGGCCTGATTAATAGTTGCCGAGTAGATGTGGAGGGGCTTCGTGGTGTCCGGCTTTGCCAAAATAGGTACATGATTAAATATGCTTTCAATTCGTCGCAGGCTTGCTCTTGCTGTCTCCCCCACGGGAACCCAACACCACCTGGCAGCAACTTGAAAAAGGGAGAGACACTTCTACACTAATTCAAGAACGCTCTTTGTAAAAGACCTCCAATCAATCACAGAATTCAACGTTCTTTGCAAATTTATCTTTATCTTTACATTTTTGCAATATAAATGGCTGGCCGCAATTGTCTCTGGTTTTCGTACCTTCAAATTTATTGTCATTTACTTTCCTGTCCAAATATAACAAATGACCTTTCATATCATATGTTGATTTACACATCGATATATCGAAAGATATTTTATTATATATATGTATATATATATCGAAAGATATTTCATTATCGATTAAATTATGATGAAACATCTATATAATCCGTCGAATCAATTTCGGCGAAATACAACCTTAATTGGGATCATTAGAGAGGGAGAGGGACCGTGGGATGGAGGGCGTACGCATCGAAGTTGCTGGTGGTTGACAACAAGAGAGGTGAATGGCAACTAGTGTCAGGTACAAATTGGCGTCAAAAGCCAGCACTTAAGGTGCACATAAGTGATTTTAGAAAAAGAGGGAGTCAAGTGGAGTTGATGTGAAAAATAAGGCCAATTTTGTGTATTTTTCAAAAGAAAAAGTTATAGGACAAGTAGGTTAGGAATTTTCTACTTGAGTTATCCCATTAGATGGTAAACCATGTCTACTTAGGAATAATTGAACTTTCAAGATAATGATAAAACATATCATAATAAAAACAGTGGGCAAAATTATCCAAAAAGTTATAAACCTATTGCACTTTTGCTAATTCAGTCCTAAATCTTTTAATTGAGCCAATTACGTTCTAAACATTTTCACGTTTTACCAAATGATTCCATTTGACCAATTTTGACCGGAAATCACTGACATGACGCCAACCGTGTTATGTAGCACGGCCGGCGTACGACCAGCACTAACGTGGACAATTTTAAATAATATTTTAATATTTTTTGAATTATTTATTTATTTTCTTTTTCTTTTTTTCTTTTTTCTTTTCTTTTTCTTTTTCGTTTTCTTTTCTTTGTGTTTTTTAAAATCTCTAGCCGATCACCTTGCTGGCCAACCCTCGCCTGGGTTGGGCAAGGGCTAGCGACCCTAGCTGGTCACGAGTGAGGGTGAGGAGGCCCTCGCCTCGATTTGGGCAAGGGCCCGAAGCCCTCACCTATGGCCATCAAGGCCGTCCAAGGACCTTGTATGCCAGAGGTTTAAAATACCAAAGATAAGAAAATAAAATAAAAAAAAGAAAAGAAAATAGAAAAGACAAAAAAGAAAAAATAATAAAATAAAAAATTCAAAAAATATTAAAATATTATTAAAAATTGTCCAAGTTAGCGTTGGTCATGCCAAGTAGGACAATTGGCGTCCACGTCAGCGAATTCCGACCAAAATAGGCCGAATGGACAAAATTGAAAAACGTGAAAATGTTTAAGACTCAATTCAAATATTTAAAATGTTTAGGATTGAATTGGCAAAAGTACAATAAGTTTATGACTTTATGATAATTTTCCCAAAAAAAGTACACCGAAAATTGTAAACTTTCCTTAATTGCTTGTCAACAAGTGCACCCGTTAACAAAATCCTTAGCAATAGAAAAAGAAAGTACATTATGTCTAATGAATACTACATTAGTTCTAAATGTCAATATCTGTATATTTTGGAAGATTTTCTATATTTCACATTGAATAAAACACAAATTGTGTCATCCGCAAGAATTGAAATTAGCAAACCCTAAAAAATAAAAGGTTAAAACTACCAAAAATCCAAAACTGGTACACCTATGACAAATTTACCTCAAACTAATTTTATGACCACTAAAATTTTCAAACTAGTACACTTGTGACAAATTTACATTCCGTTAGTTACCATTAAATTGGATTAATAAATGGTATACCTGTGACAATCGGAGGGTGAAACCCCAAATTAATACATTCGTCAACTGTCACGTGTCATCAAATGTAGTAATTTGACAGTAAAATTTAATGAAAATTAAATATGAATAAATTTATTACAGGAGTATCAGTTTCGAGTTTTTCGGGGTATTAACCCAAAATAAACTCCTAAACAAACTCATTTTTTTCCACAATAAAATGTTCCAGCATTCACATTTATCGGCCAACAAAGATCAAGTAAGGGTCTCCTGTTATCTGTGGTAAAGTCTTCATCTATTTCCTTGATCATTACGTAAAGATGGATTTAGAGGCGACTAGGTCAATGTGGAAGGAAAACTTGACTTCTTGTTCTACCGATCATACCTCGGAAAGCAGCTTTTGTCAATCACGTCGTCCTTCATTGTATTCACATACGATAAGTACTGGTAACTTAAAAGTTATGTTGAATAATTTCCGAGGGAGATGAACTTTGTAACTTTGCTTTACCGATTTTAATGACCGAGATGTCGTCTAGGAGTCATGGTATTGATGGTCACTTCCATTCTACATTTTAAAGAATGCCTCTTCTACATTTCCACAAGTTTCTTTCAAAAAGTCACAGATAAAGCATCATTCCATTGAAAAAGACAAAACACTTTGCAAATGCAAGGAACCTGCCAACGTCAAATCAACCTAAAAAAGAAAAGCAAAGACTTTTGCAAAAGCTAATGACATGTTTATGTTTATGGGCCTAATTCAAAAAAATAAAAATCAATTTTAGATCGAGTCACAATTCTGATCTCAA